GTGATATTGGCCATTTGGTTTAGACAGATAAAGGTTAAGAAGCCCTTTTTCTAAATAGCTTTTAGATCTGTGACATATTCTACTCGTACATATTGACTAGATAAAGTTGTAATGTTGCTGGTATGATCTCAATATGACTATCAACACATTACCGAATGACACGCCAAATCTCCAGATGATACAGTGCTGTTCTGACATGTTAACATGGGCACTGAAATGAAAATCAAGAAGTTCTGTAGAAAAACGAGTCGACTGTCAAGCCTTTCTAGTCTTCCGACCACTCAAAGTGCTTTTACACTACGTGCCACATTCAACCTTTCACACACATTCACTCAGTGATGGTAAAGGCCATCGAACGGAAACTACATCATCCATTCATACACATTCACACACTGATGCACAGCATCGGGAGTAATTTGGGGTTCAGTATCTTGCTCAAGGATACTATGACGATGATGTGGCGGAGGAGCCAGGGATCGAACCAACAACCAAAGGCTCTTCCTCTGAGCCGGTATCGATTCTCGTTACATCCCTAACTTAGACCCAATGGGTGGGCGGTTTTGACTTCGCTGTGGGCGGGAGGTCAAAAAATAAACTACAGGTCCCAAAGGATGCAGATGTACAACAAATGAATGACGTTGACCAGAAGATTAAAGCGCATTTTTATAAAACAAAAGCAAAGCAAGGCAAGCCTGACATTTGGAGAAATTCCTCAGTTGTTACTGACACAGTAAAATAAAAAAAATTAACCCATGGGACAGGAAAAGACACAAAATCTCTATTGTGTGGACATGAATGGTCATATTGTTTGTGGGAGTGGAAAAGCACATAGCAGGAGCAGATGGTAATGGTCAGAAATCCAGCGGGAGCGGGATTAAGAAAACAGTCCCGTTTTAGTAATATAGAGCAGGCTAAATATCTGGTCATGTTAGTGCTGACATAGTTTCTAATTTCTTTGATTTAAATTCATGTGTTTTTCTTCTTTCTCCTCGTCCTAGGCAGCAGAGGCGTTCCTTGTCATGCTATTCTCAGACGCCAACCTGTGTGCCATCCATGCCAAGCGGGTCACCGTGTTCCCCCGTGACATTCAGCTGGCCAGGAGGATCCGTGGAGTAGATAACCTGTAAAAACAACATAGTACAAAGTAGACAAGCAAGTACCATCAACAGGAATGACGTTCTTTTCACTTCTGTCTGTTCTGATACGTTAATACTGGTTTTAAATGCTTAATCTGTGTTTAGCTTATTAGTTTCTACAGGTTCACAGATCATCACTGTTAAAGTTATGAAACTTATGAAAAGGTAACAAGTTCAAATTCAAAAGAAAAGAAATAAAAGAAAAAAATAAATAAATAAAGCCACTGTATTTTTATACATTGTTGGATTATTTTGTTGTTTTATTGTTATCATTGTTCTGTGTTGTATTGATTCTGATGTGTACATATTGCACCCCATTCAAGTAAAGTTATTTTTGTTAATAAACAGATTTTTCTTTTACTTATACCAGTGGACAAGAGCGAGCTTTAATCTAATATCTTAGTATGATGTTCCCAGTGATTTTTGTTCAGTTAAACAAATAAGTCACATGGAAGAAGCCAGTTTGTCCAAAGCCAAATGATTGAGGTAAATGTATTTGTTTTTATCCTTGGGTGCCTATTGTTGATGTAATTTTAAAGGTCCAGTGTGTAACACTCAGGATGATCTATTGGCAGAAATGGAATATAATATTCATTTTAATTTCATAATTTTCATGTATCATAACCTGAATGAGTAATTTCTATCTACAGAGGGGGCAGGTGCCCTTCCATGAAGGCTTTCATGTTAAACCACAAAGTCCAACCATAGGCTCTGGATAGGGCCTTTTGCAGTTTTTGCAAGGTCACTGTAGTTTCTACTGCACACTTGGAAAGCGGGCATTATTTAGTTGGTTGCAATCTGCAACTTCACTACTAGATCCCACTAAATCCTACACACTGGTCCTTTGGACACCCTTTGTTATTGCTTTGAATTGATCCCTGGGGTGCAGATGGGTGGGTAATCATTCCTGTTTTTACCTGCACTCTCAGCCACCTGGGACAACTCATGACTCAGAAGGATCTCAGGTCAGTGCTTACAGAGGGATTTGCATCTCAAAACCTGGATAAGTGAAACCATAGGTATTTGACTGTTGGGAGGAAAATCTGAAAAAGCTAATATGGGGAGTGATTACTGTAAAATCGGTAATGAGATGAAAGAAATGAGGCAAAGTAACTACTTAGTGCTACATAAACATAAAAAGTCCCTTTTATCTGCTTGATTTTAACAAAGTGTGGATTTAGCTAGCTGGGCTCTGTGCTTAACTGCTACCATAACCATTGACTGTCATAATATATATATATAAAGCTCATCTTGGTTACTGTTATCTGCAGTCTTAAAAAATAAATTTATATAATTTGTCGTTTGGACAGAAGTACATCTAGATGGCCAAAAAGAATTCAATTTTATTTGTATAGCGCAGAAGTACAACAGAACAGAAGTTATCTCAGGACACTTTTCAAATAGAGCAGGTCTAGACTGAACTCCTTATAACGTTATTTACAGAGACCCAACAGTTCCCACCATCCCACATCCCTAGGTGGGTGGTTGTCTGCCTCGATCAGTTGGGGTGAGAGAGACAGACAGACATGCATAGCAACAACTAATAGTAGTGACTGATGATGAACATGAAAAAGATCATGGTAAATGGACCTGTACTTGTATAGCGTCTTTCTAGTCTTCCGACCACTCAAAGCGCTTTTACACTACATGTCACATTCACCCTTTCACACACATTCACTCAGTGATGGCAAAGTCAGTCGAACGAGAACTAATGGATTAGGTACACCATATCAGCACGCACCGCAATCAGGCACTATCGGGGACCAATTGTTCGGGGTTTCGGAGTATCGTGCTCAAGGATTATTTTTTCGACATGGTGTGCATGGAGGAGGCGGGGAGTAGAACCAACAACCTTCCGATGTAGGGGAGCGACCTGCTCTGCCTCGGGACGGCGACAAACAACAATGATCCGTGGAGGGCAATTGAGCGCAGTGGATATAGTGAGTTACGGGTAAGGTAGTAGAGCTGTAGTAATAATAAAAAATATCAAGTAAATATTAGCCAATGCGCAGTCAAGCAGGAGGAGAGGAGACATACCAACCAGGATACTATGAGAAGCTCAATGTGAGTACGAGGGAAAAGCACAAGAAAATCTGGGAAGAAGGTGAAAGTTAGGTAAG